TTGCCTTTATTTAGCTTTCTTTGGGTTACACTATGTGGAACATTAAGTATTAGTTCTACTGTTCATAATCGTATTCAGTTCTTTGTAGAATTACCAGTGTTGGTCTTGAAACATTTATAGAACAGGTTTTAAGTTATGCACTTTATATACAGCAAGCTTTTTCAACCAGGGTGTCTTAGGTTTCTTCAGGGGTACCTTGGCAACATGCCTAAAGATTACCCCAAACCTTTATACAAGCCAGCAGGTGGATGAAGCCTGCCTTTTAGTTACACAAAGCCACAGGTTTGCTTTGTGCAACATTACAACCTTCCTGCTGCTGGCACCCTAACAACCAATGACTACATCGGACCCCTGCACAGCATCTTTTTTTATCCCTCCGTGCCCCTCTCCATCATCACTAGGGTCATAGGGGTTGCGGACTGAAGCCCAAGTTTCACAGCTAATTGATATAGTAGTTGTTCAGATCAGGTTTACATGATTTTATCCTGTTTACAACTGATGACATGTGTGGTTTAGAAACTGTTCCCATAGAAGTCAATAACCTGTAATCCGCACCTGAACCAGACTGCACTGCTCAGAAATCGGACAGGACTCTTTTTCAATCCACGCTGAATCTGCACTGCCAGAGCATTAGACATATGTGAACAGGCACCATAGGAAGCAATGTTATTTCACATGTCATGCGGATTGGATGTGGTTCAAACCGTATCCAATCTGCATATATGGGAACCGGCACTGAGGGAGAGAAACTGAGGGAGAAGAAAAACACTGGAATAGTAATTAGTACCAGTGTGCTTCAGAAGAATAAATCACCTGTGATGTGGGGTGGCCCACGAGTGTGGATGTTGCTGCGATATAAAATTATTAGCTTAGTCCTTAACATTTTAGAATGAGATTGTGCAGAATTTTAAAGGGTGCTTTGACTGAAAAAGCTTGAGAAACACTGATATACAGTAATATTCATTCCTGTTTATATTTTTTTATATGCCAGTCATTTTAGGGACATCCAGGTAAGTGCTTTCTTCTTTTTACTCCTAAAGCATAACTTTTATTTATTTATTTTAGGTACTTATATAGCGCTGTCAATTTATTGTACATTCACATCAGTCCCTAACCCTCAAGGGGTGTACAATCTAAAGTCCCTAGCTCACATTCATACATACACATACTAGGGCCAATTTAGACAGGAGCCAATTAACCTACCAGCATGTCTTTTGAGTGAACTTTTTTTTTCATTCACCTTTGCCCTTTGTGCTCTGACAATCTAATATGTATAGAGAACACAACGCGATTTAGATCTCTGCACTCCCCATACTTTTCATGGATTGTGCTCCATACTAAGGGCAATTTAGAGACTGTCATATTTATTTAAATTTCCAAAACCAATATTGAATCACCAACTGTGTCTTATGTCACTGGAGGACTGTGGTAGCAACAGCTGTGGTAGCAACAAGCCTCTTGTAGCTTGCAGGTCTGACTCTCTCATTAGGTTTAAACATTATGAAAAATGCAGAAGAACTGGTGAGACTCCAGTTTGGGAGATTCATCTCTTCATTATTTAATAAAAAAATAAATACCACTGTCCATATAATTTGTTTATTATTTCATTTTGCTTAAGTTAAAATAACTATAATCTATACTATAGATCCCAACGTATATTTATAAATACTGTTGTGTTTTATTTATACTCGCTAGTGGATAAATATTTCTTTTCAGGGGGGTACATGCACCACCTCTTATTAGTAATATTGAACTATAGTGCCAACATTCTACAAATGTAGTGTACTTGGTCATACAGAGACTATAAGGGGGAGATATACTAAAACTGGAGCTTGCAAAATCTGGTGCAGCTCTGCAGAGAAACCAATCAGCTTCCAGATTTTATTGCCGAAGCTTAATTGAGCAATCTGAAGTTGGAGGCGGATTGACTGCCATGCACGGCTGCACCAGATTCTATGTGTACCAGTTTTAGGCTGGCCATACACTATGCAATTTTCTGTCCAGTTTCTGCCCAATTTTCTTTAGATTTACCTTCAAATGTGTAGTGCAAGGGCTCGCCTAATTGGACACAATTGAAAGTGTTGTTTAGGTTTGACCTCATATTATATGGTTTTTGGTAAATCTAAAGCAATTTTCTAAAGAAAATTGTATAGTGTATGGCCAACGTTAGTAAATCTCCCCCTAAGTGTCACTAAAAACGACATCGAAAAAAAACATGACTATGTGAAAATAGTAAATGCTGCCCTGCCCAAAGAGAATGCTCTCCATGTGGGCTCTCTTTTTGCTATTTTGGAATGAGAATAGCATTAATTTAGCATACACAGACAGTACGTAATGATGATAGTAGAAGCATTTACTGACCATTGACACTTACAGATTCCTTTTATACTTTTGAGCAAAGCTTTAGGATTTTTGGGGGGGCATCATCAAATATTAGACTAATGACTGTTATCCAAAAACTCCTTAGGGTACTATAGGCCATGCCGCTCTGATTTTCTCATAGTACAAATACCTGGGCCTCCACTAGGAGGAATGTTCGAATCTCATTTTATATCCATACAATCACTATACAAGTGAGAGAGAATTGAACATCCTCCCTTAGGGCTCACTTACACCATCAAGCTGTGCTGAGTGCCGAGCTGCTAGTGTGCACTGAGCGCAACAGTCCAGTATGCTGATCTCGGTGTATTGCACTGTTAACTAATTTGTTTCATTTTTTTTTCTTGCAACTTTATTGAAATTCCACAAGGAAAAGTTCAAATAGTGTAAACATGCCCTTACAGGTTAACTATACTTTTTGTTTAGGTTCAGACTAGCGTACCTGCGATTTGATCTGATTTTCAGTGTCTGGGTGCTGGTTGGTAACCCCTTCCCATTACATGTACACATATATGCAGTCTCACAGAAGAGGGTGTACTTCCATGAGGCTGCATGTATGCATACATGTTTGTTCTGGGAGTATGCTACACAGCGAGTGCCCAACACAGGGACTGGGCTATCACTGAGATAATAAAAAAAATCAGGAGATATTGAATAGCATTTACCACCAAATGAAAGCCCAATTTGTCCTGAAAAAACAAGGTATAATCCACCTGGAAACACTAAGTAGTAAAAGTTTCAAAACTTTGTTCAGGCGTTAGGATTTGTGTTACCCCCCGACATCAAAGGGTTAAGAAACCTTAACCTGCAAAAATGTGTGAAAAAACAAGTACATGTGTTTTTGGTGTTTTTCCATTGAAGTATATGGGCCTAATCATGCTGCAATCACACCAAAGTAACATTGGACCCTTCTCCAAAAATGCGCCGTGTTGTGCTGCATTGATGTGAATAGGCACCATAGAAAATAATATGATTTCCATTTTCATGTGATTCTGTGCGACTGAAGTCGCATCTGAAACAAACTAGTGTGTACAAGACCTTAAACAAAACGCATCAACCCCTGCCCTCAAATCACTCCATTAAAACCCCCATCAGAAAGGATACAGCCATACAGTTATCAAATGCTTTGACAGAGCTGGCCTAATGGTAGATAATCCTTCTATTCATTCCAGTGGTCCAGGTTCCATGCATGCATAGTACTGGGGTTACTGGAATGTCTGATGTCTTTATAGCTTTATCCTTTTTATAAGGTGCTGTGCAAACCAGGATATTGATGTTTGGGTAAAGACTGCAAATGGAATTGCTTAAATATACTGTTTTGATTCTTTGAGATGCTCCAGTCAGGGAAGTGTTATAGGTCCGCCCATGTGAAAGGGGCCTAATGATCCTATCGGACCATCCATCAGTTTTTCAGGCGGACCCGATCGGACCATCTATTTGCCTTTATGGAGCAGCGGATGTAAACAGAGATGTGTCTGATCAGATTCGATCCGCTGAAAACAGACAGATCCGTCTAGCAGATCGGATTGGATCGGATGACAGTCTGATGTAAATGGACAGGCGGTACGTTTACATCCGACTGCCCGTAGAGGATAGTGAGCCGTGTCCATGTCTGCTCTGCATAACCGGAGTGGACACGGACCATCCATTTGCTCAACCGGGATCAGTGAACAGATCTCCCGCTGAGCAGGTGGATCCACTAGCAGAGTCCGCCTGTGTGAAAGGGGCCTTAGGGCTCATACAAATAGATTAAAATAGTTTTTCTCTGATGGTGCAGCTTTTAAAATCAGTAAGTTAAATAGTTAGGATAAGGTGATATTATTTATTTTTAAGTGTGTATTTGTAAATATTTATATGTATTTTTGATATGTGAGTGTTTGTGTTACATTCTGTGCAGAGCTATGCTTGCATTTCACTGCATGATCTGTGATTGTATAATGATACATTTTTTTAATCTCTTAAATTGCATATATGTTTGCATTTAATATTTAGCTTCTTAGGGCTCGTTCACACTTGACTGTTTTACCAATGCTTGCCAAATGCCCCTATAGCGTTTGGCAAGCGTTGGTTCGTCGTTTGCGGAGCGTTTTTTAACACTCGGCAAATGCTCCGCAAATGCTGCATGCGCGATTTAGCGGCAGTTGCTAGGCGTTTGCAGAGCGTTAAAAACACCCCACAAATGCCCTATAATGAAGTTTAAATGGTGTTACCGCTCCGCAAACGCCCTGCAACCACGCCGCAAACGCCGGCCGTGCATTTGCGGAGCAGCACCATAGACAAGAATAGGAGGCTTCAACGCCTCCTGACTCGACCAGAGGCGTCCATTTTGCTGCACCGCGCCACTACCGCTCCCGTTAGAACAGCACCATGTGCTGCAATGGGCAGAATTGTCCGAGGCGTTTGGGAAGCGGTAAAAATGCTTCCAAACGCCTTTCTGCCGCTTGAAAACAAGGCTAGTGTGAACGTAGCCTTACAGACTTACCTTATGATCTGTGATTGTATAATGATACATTTTTTTTAATCACTTAAATTGCATATATGTTTGCATTTAATATTTAGCTTCTTACAGACTTACCTTTTCTAATAGATATAAAGTTGAGGCACCACTTTGATTTTCTCAGGTTTAACAAACTTGGCCTAGATAAGATACCGACTATTAGTAAACCACCTTCTGAGGATCAAGTGGAAGAGGCCTACACCTTCAGTCCAGTCCAGTCAGCACCTCTGCATCTGGAGGCCATTCTGTGCGCAGATGTGGGCACTTCCCACTCCTCTGTAGTAACAGGTCAGTAGAGAGACAAGAGAACGGGCAATGTGTAGAATGTGTAGGAAAAGTGAGAGAACAGCTTGTTTACAATGGGATTTTACGTTTGTATTCAGTCCTCTGCTTTTGTGAATGAATAGGAAAGTTTTTCACTTTGACATTCTAAAGCTAACATTTGTATTGACAAGCTGTTGTATGTGCAAACACATGGAGACATGAAAGATCAGTGTGGAAACTTTGCAAATACTGCTCTCATTCCCTTGCCTTTTTTTTTTACTTTCTCCATGAAAGCCCGGGGGCAGTGTTACACCTTTGGCAGCAATCAACATGGACAACTAGGCACCAGTGCACACCGGAACAGTAGAGTGCCCTATCTCATCCCTGCACCGCAAGGGTTAAAAGTGACAATGGTGGCATGTGGTGATGCCTTCACAGTAGCTGTTTGTGCAGGTGAGGCTTACATTGTATCCTGTACACATTGCAATCATTACATTTACTGCTTCTTTATGACCACAGATGATTCAGCTTAAATACAAAAAATAAGCTCCTTAGTTCCAATTCAAATCAGTATTTGTTGTGACCACCCTTTCCCTTCAAAACAGCATCAGTTCTTCTAGGTAAACTTGCACACAGTTTTTGGAAGAACTTGGCAAACATCTTTTTAGAACTAACTACAGATGTCCTGTGGATGTAGGCTGCCTCATATCCTTCTGTCTCTTCATATAATTCCAGAAAGACTTTATGATGTTGAGATCAGGGCTCTGTGGGCCAAACCATCTCTCCTTCTTCTTTATGCTGAAGATAGTTCTGACATTGGCTGTATGTTTGAAGTAGTTGTCCTGCTGCAGAATAAATTTGTGCCAATCACACACCTCCCTGATGGTATGGCATGATGGATAATTATTTGCCTGTATTTCTCAGGACCGAGAACACCATTAATCCTGACCAAATCTTCAACTCCATTTGAAGAAATGTAGCCCCAAACTTGCAAGGAACCTCCACCATGCTTCACTGTTCCCTGCAGACACTCATTATTGTAACGCTTTCCAGCCCTTTGGTGAACAAACTGTCTCCTGCTACAGCTAAATATTTCAATTTTGACTCATCAGTCCAAAGCATTTGCTGCCTTTATTCTGCATCCCAGTTCCTATATTTTCGTGCATAGTTGAGTTGCTTAACCTTGTTTCCACGTTGGAGGTATGGCATTTTGGCTGCAGTTCTTTCATGAAGCCCTCTTCTGGCAAGTAGATTTGGTATACCAGGGTCCCATTGGTTTTCAGCAGTTCTGTACTGATGGCACTCCTGGATATCTTCTGATGGAAGTAAGCATGATGTGGCTTTCATCTGCTGCATTGTTTCCACTGCGTCTATGGTCCTCAGCATTTCCTGTTTCTTTGTGCTTCTTCAAAAGATCTTGGACTTCACATATTGAAACCCCAGTCAGCTTTAAAAATCTTTGCCTGGAAATGATCATACTGATGCAGTATAATTGCCTTGTTGCTGTGCTCAGTCTTGCCATGGAGTATGACCTGTGACATGAAACTGTCATCTAAATACCAATTCTTAGATGTGATGGCTACATTCATTTTCTTTTTTAGGCTTTCTTTCTTCCTATTTTCATCTGGTGATCCAGCAAGTAAGTTTGTTGCTTTTCAAAAGCACAAGCGCTCCAGCAGAATGGATCGCTTTACATGGATGAGACAAACCATTTAACACTAGCAGGGGTGTTTAAAAGGATCCGCTTTTATTTATTCATGAAAAACCATTATCCCAAAAGGAAAAAAAATGTTTACTGTAACTGATTATAAAGTGGGAGCTGGACTTTGATCAAAGAGACTCCCATAGTGTAGAATCATTTATTATAAATGAAAAACATACAGTTGTGTTCACAATAATAGCAGTGTGTTGAAAAAAGTGAATAGAGCTCAAAATCCTTCTAATAGCTTTTATTTCCATACACACAAATGCATTGAGAACACTACACATTCTATTCCAAATCAAAACATGAAGAAAAATATATCAAATGTGTGTTGTTCCTCTAAAACAATTGAAGAAAAGTGAATATTAGACTGTTCAAAAAAATAGCAGTGTTTGTATTCTTCTTTACAAACTCAAACATTCACTATATAAACTGAAAAATGTTTGAAGATTTTGTTTTCCTTTGAATCACTTAATGAATATTTAGTTGTATAAGCACTGTTTCTGAGAACTGCTGTACATCTGTGTTGCATGGAGTCAACCAACTTCTGGCACCTGTGAACAGGTATTCCAGCCCAGGATGATTGGACGACATTCCACAGTTCTTCTCTATTTCTTGGTTTTGCCTCAGAAACTTCATTTTTGATGTCACCCCACAAGTTTTCTATTGGATTAAGATCCGGGGATTGGGCCGGCCACTCCATAACGTCAATCTTGTTGGTCTGGAACCAAGATGTTGCACGTTTACTGGTGTGTTTGGGGTCGTGGTCTTGTTGGAACACCCATTTCAAGGACATTTCCTCTTCAGCGTAAGGCAGCATGACCTCTTCAAGTATTCTGATGTATTCAAACTGATCCATGATCCCTGGTATGCGATAAATAGGCCCAACACCGTAGTATGAGAAACATCCCCATATCATGATGCTTGCACCACCATGCTTCCCTGTCTTCACAGTGTACTGTGGCATGAATTCAGTGTTTGGAGGTCGTCTGACAAACTGTCTCCAGCCACTAGACCCAAAAAGAACAACCTTACTTTCATCAGTCCACAAAATGTTGCACCATTTCTCTTCAGGCCAGTCAATGTGCTCTTTGGTAAATTGTAACCTCTTCAGCACGTCTTTTTTTCAACAGTTAGACTTTGCGGGGGCTTCTTGCAGATAGCTTGGCTTCACATAGGCGTCTTCTAATTGTAACAGTACTCACAGGTAACTTTAGACCTTCTTTGATCTTCCTGGAGCTGATTGTTGGCTGAGTCCTTGCCATTTTGGCTATTCTTCTATCCATTCGAATGGTAGTTTTTCGCTTTCTTCCACGTCTTTCAGGTTTTGGTTGCCATTTTAAAGCATTTGCGATAATTTTAGCTGAGCAGCCTATCATTTTCTGCACTTCTTTATATGTTTTCCCCTCTCCATTCAACTTTTTAATCAAGGTACGCTGTTCTTCTGAACAATGTCTGGAATGACCCATTTTCCTCAGAATTTCAGAGAGAAATGCACTGTAACCAGCATGTATAACATTTGCTGCCTTCCTTCCTTAAACAAGGGCAATAATTGCCACCTGTTTTTCAAAGAATGAATGACCTCACTAATAGAACTCCACACTGCTATTATTTTGAACATGCCCCTTTCGATCAGTGATTCAATTACACAGAATCAGCAGCATGCATGTCATGACTGTTGGGTCTGTTGGATTTCTATTACTCTACTACACCTGCTAGTAAATTATTTGCCATGTAGAAATATCATTTCTACCAAAAACAGTGATTGATCAGGTTAGTGATGTCTGACTGCTATTATTTTGAACACAACTGTATATACAAATGTACTCACCTAGCACTGTGCCTAGAATCCGCATCAGGATAAGCCATCTACTCTCTGTGCTCTCTTATGTAGAATGCTGCTCCACAAGTTGTCACTTTCCCTTTAAGAGTGGGAGTTTCAAAGACTGGAAGCTCTGTCACAGGCTAAACCCCACTCAACACGTTTCATCATCAAAAGGACATCATTAGGAGCTTCCTGATGATGTCCTTTTGAAATTCTGTATTGTGTAATTTTGTAATGTGATGATAGGGGATCACTCCCTCTTCAGCTGCTTCATTCAGAAAACACCTTGCATTTTGTTCACTGAATGCGAGGCATTCTCTGAATGGACAAGGTGGAATCCTGATGTTCATCAGCCCCTTATCCATTCAGAGAAAGCCTTGTGTTTAATGAAAAGAATGCAAGATGTCTTCTGAATGGAGGAGTTGAAAAGCAAGTGACCCCATATCATCACTGTATGAACAGCAATACTTTTTAGCTTCCACAGCAATCCTATGGACGTAGTATACAAAAAAATTACCGTACTTTCCGGCGTATAAGACGGCTTTTCAACCCCTGAAAATCTTCTGAAAAGTCGGGGGTCGTCTTATACGCCGGTGCGAGTCAGGGCAGCACTTTTTCGAGGGGCGGCGCTGCGCCGCCCCCCCTCCTCCTCCAGCGGACACTAAGTACAGGGGTGGACAGAGGGGCTGCTGTACCTTACCTGGCTCCGGTCCCACGACGATCCGGTCCAGGAAGCGCGGCTGCTCCTTCATTCAGTTCGGCCGCTCGATGGTCACGCGGCCACTCAGCTCCGCCTCCTCACCGGTTATTGGGCGCCAGCACTGGAAAGGCACACAGGCGACCAATCACCGGCGAGGAGGCGGAGCCGAGCGGCCCCGCGAAAATCGAGCGGCCGCACTGGAAGAAGGAGCACCCGCTCCTCTCCCCCACTGACACTAACGATGGGGCACTATTCCTCCTCCACACTGACACCAACGATGAGGCACTGTTCCTCTCCCACTGACACCAACGATGAGGCACTGTTCCTCTCCCACTGACACCAACGATGAGGCACTGTTCCTCCCCCACTGACACCAACGATGAGGCACTGTTCCTCCCCCACTGACACCAACGATGAGGCACTGTTCCTCTCCCACTGACACCAACGATGAGGCAGTGTTCCTCCCCCACTGACACCAACGACGAGGCACTGTTCCTCCCCCACTGACACCAACGATGAGGCACTATTCTCCCCCCACTGATACCAATGATGGGGCACTATTCCTCCTCCCCACTGATACCAATGATGGGGCACTATTCCTCCCCCACTGACACCAATGATGGGGCACTATTCCTCCCACTGACACCAATGATGGGGCACTATTCCTCCCACTGATACCAATGATGGGACACTATTCCTCCCACTGATACCAACGATGGGGCACTATTCTCCCCACTGATACCAATGATGGGGCACTATTCCTCCCCCACTGACACCAACGATGGGGCACTATTCTCCCCACTGACACCAACGATGGGGCACTATTCTCCCCACTGACACCAACGATGGGGCACTATTCTCCCCACTGACACCAACGATGGGGCACTATTCTCCCCACTGATACCAATGATGGGGCGCTATTCCTCCCACTGACACCAATGATGGGGCGCAATTCCTGCCACTGATACCAATGATGGGGTGCTATTCCTCCCACTGACACCAATGATGGGGTGCTATTCCTCCCACTGATACCAATGATGGGCCGCTATTCCTCCCACTGACACCAATGATGGAGCACTATTCCTCCCACTGACACCAATGATGGGACACTATTCCTCCCACTGACACAAACGATGGGACACTATTCCTCCCATTGACACCAATGATGGGGCACGATTCTTCCCACTGACACCAATGATGGGGCACTATTCCTCCCACTGACTAAT